TTCAAAACAGCAACAATCCATACAACTGTGTTCTACTTTATATACAAAAATCTTTTAATACACTTCAAATATCTTTACTAATTCATTATGTGCTTTGTCTTACTCAAATTGCACATTCCTTGAGTTAAAAAAAGACATAAGATTGAACAATTCTTCTCTAAAACAGTACTTTACAGTGGCTAAGCATTAAAATCAGTGGATGTTTTAATAAGTATGGATCCTGCAGCCCTAAGCTAGACCTAATGGACAAAGATTTTGGGGATGGAGCCCATGCACCAATAGTCTTACAGAGCTCCACGTGTTATTTTCATGCACAGTGTTGAGAACCACAGAAAAGAAAGCGTATACAAAGCTGCCTAGACGTGGAAAGTGTTGAAGCTGTACAGGACCTTAAACATCATCTAATCAACTCATTTCCTAAAGTATGAATCTAAAGTTGTGAGCAGGTAAGTAAATTGTCCAAGGTCACACAGCTAGTAAAGGGAGGAGGAGAGCCCAGGTCTCCTGGCATGCAGACTGGTGCCCTTTCCACCACACAAGGCTGGCTACTCCACTTGGCGGAAGATAAAATACTAATCCTTGATTCTACTCCAAATTTAATCAATATCATAAGCATTCAAATTCTCAGGGAAATGTGGTTAAAAGAAAAAACTACTTTTTCTCGAACCTCATATATCTCCTATGGAAAGAATGGTGATAAAAGAATCTAAAATGGAAAGTTGTTATGGTATATAAATGAGCTGAATGATGACAAAGTACCTGGAAAAAACACTCAACAAATGTTGCTTCCTTTCAACACCACACTTCTTCTCCTTGCCTTTTTGAGTCTACATCAAGTTAATTCTCCTTAACTTTCAACGATGCTCCTTTTTATATTGTTTCTTCTAATTGGCAATGCCTTTTGACCTCTTCTCCTTCAATTATGTTCATAAATTTCCTCAGGGCCCAGTTTAATATGTGCCTCCTAAGAAATCTTCTAAACTAACTGAACCCTATTCTTATTACTGGTTTCTTCCCTCACTATTTAAATGATTTGTACTTCTAAACCATACACTTGTTTACACCTACTTTTGGAGCTTTGTAATTGTAATTACTTTCTAGTTGCTTTGTACATTTTCATTTTCTTCCATAATTAGAATGTAAGTTATTAATGAGCTAGAATATAAGCTCCCCAAAGCTAAGGTTACTGATCTGTGTTACTCACTGATGGAACACAGGCACCTGAAACAATGCCAGAAACACAGAAGGCGCTCAATAAATACTTGCTGAATGAACAGGCAAGGATTATTTCTCCTTCCATTCATGAATCTCTAAAAAATTTCAAAAGTAATGCTAGAGACATATTTGTGAAAAATTAAACGTTTCGAAAAAAAATGAAATTTTTTTCTGTGCCTGATATTTTAGAAATTCATAAAATTTAAAAAATTAATAGAGCTACAATAGATGGATCAACTCCCTGGCTATGGTAAGTCACTCAGCTTCTTCATTATACTCGTTGATTCCTTGTTATTACTGTCTTAACTGGATAGTGTCAGCTAATAAATAGAAGGCAAAGGACTGAATTAAGACCTACAGTTCAAGTACCACCTTTCTGTCTGTGGTGAAGAATTGCTAAACTTTGTTCTCTTTCAAAACTTTAAATTAAGAATAATCTAATAAAAAAACACCAATTTCTGGCTTACTTGGAACTCAAATTATGTAAAAGAACAGTAGATAATTATTTAAATACATAAGTTTAAGAAAGTAACTTTATCTTTTAACAAAGTACTTGTTTCACCCCATACCGTATTTTGCCCTGTATAATACGCTCCTGTATATAATGTGCACCCATGTTTTTGCTCCAAAATTTCAGGGGGGAAAAACCTTTCATTTAAAATTTTTAATTCAAATCTTTATTTGTTTACATTTAGGTACTTGTTTGTTGTATTATAAACAAATTTTAGCATTCATTTCTAAACATATTATGGGACAACAAATTTTATGTAACAAATAATTACAAACATAAGGACAGATACAAGATATAAGAAATTTTATGTACTGGTAACAAATTTACAGTATTTACGCATCACAGAAGGCCAAGGACTCTTTGTTGCTGCAAGTTTGTCATAAATTCAATATAAATTCAAGAAAGAGTAGGTTTTTGTTTTTTTTTTAAATCACATTTCCCTGAGAATTTGAATGCTTATGATTAAATGTGTGGTAGAATCAAGAGTTATGGTATTCCAGGGTATTATTTTGCATACAGATATCATTATTGAGTTAAAAGAGTTACACTTTTAATGCATAATCATAAACAAAAGAATTAAAAACATTATATAGATATGCAATTAGTACTACCTATGTATAATGCGCATCCTTATTTTTCCCTCACTAATTTGGGCAAAAAACTGCGCATTATGCACAGCAAAATGTGGTACATAAATTCCTGGAAAGCTGAAAACATAATCATACCTTTCCTGAAAAAATTATAAATTTATAACTTTTGAGACAAGCACATTCAGTAACTATTCAGAGTGATAATTTTATGTTACCCCCCAAAAAAAATTTTTTTAATTTCTACTCAGAAAAATTATCTTTCTAGCTTATGTAATTTAATCAAGGTACAAAAAAATCCAGCTAACTCACATACAGGACTGTACAAAGAAAACATCAACATGGTTAGGCATTCAGTCACAAAATAGAATTGTGAAGGGTATTATTTTTTTCTATTCAAGTCATACATTTCTCTACACATATGAAAAGATAACAGCGATAATTAGAATGCATTAAAAAAATCAGACTGAATATATAATCTCAGTCTTACATACTATGCTATTTTTTTTTTTAGCTGAGCCATCCTGCCACCTGTTGGCAGCTCAGCAGCAGCTCAGCTTGGGCCGGGCATCAAACCGCTGTTGCTCAGAGCTCGCACTCTTGAGTGAGCTCTTAACCAACTGAGCCACTCGGCCGGCCCTATACTATGCTATTTTTGTATTATCAAACTATAGGACAATTTAATGATTAGAAAACTCTAATCTAAGTAAGTGAATTACATTGAAGGAGATTCTATTGTACAGTGGAATGAATGGGCTTTGGAATCAGAATGGGGTTCAAATCCCAGATCCCCCATTTCCTAGGTGTTTGACCATAGGCCAAATGTTTATCTTCTCTGAGCCTCCGTTATCTATAAGATGGCATAATAATTTCTCCCTTGCACAGCTGTGATGAAGATTTAAAAAGATAATGTCACATCTTTTTGTAAATCCTCCAATGATTTATTATAACTTATAAAGTTAAGTTTCCAACTCTTGCAAAAACTTTCTTGCTTTCAGAGAGAGGAACCAGTTCTCTGATCTCAACATTTCTTTAAAAATACAAGCAGAAATGTCCAATTAAGTGGGAAAAACGTACGCTTAGAGATAGAACACAGGAAACAGTAGACAAGCAAAGTTCAATTTTGTCATGTATCCAGGTAAATTTACTCATACACTGATATTGTTGTAAGGTGGATTTATTCTTCCTACCTGATATCATTGTCATGGGGTTACCTATTAATCCCTGCCTAACAGATATTTTTGCAGTAAGAGGCTAGAATAATTTTTTTAAATGACCTCGGACAAGTAAACTCCTTGTTATTCTCCTGCCTTAGCATATCAAAAATTCTCCAATATGATAAGTATGGTAATTTCAGCTTATATTTTAAATAATCCATCAAAATGATAACCTTTTAATTTATCTCCTCCCAAACAAATTCTCTAAATGTGCCTATGAGGTGCCACTGATTAGAGACATAGTCTATTTTTAGGGATCTTAAAATGTAAGGACAAAAATGTGCATCTTACAGTTTCAACCTCATTTTAGAAACTGAAGGTCAGAGAGTGCTCAAAAACACTATGCAACATTAATACCTGTTAACCAGGTTACTCACCTGTAGTAATCTGGGGGGAAAATGGATCAAAAGCCAGCTGCTTTAACTACTTCCTCTCCATTAAGTAAAATATGTACATATCCAGTATGTGTTGATATGCTCAGAAGATTACTTATAAAACTGTCTTGCATACATTTTCCCAACCTTCTTATAACAGAAGATAGAGTTCAAAAGTTCATTGCGACCCCCTCCCTAAGAAAATACATAGTAATTACTAAAATCTGAATTTCATTTTGACACATTCTAGGCAGATAACTATGTCTGACTTTATTAAAGGGAATGCTTTCTTTTCCTAAAATGGCACCACATACTGACTGCAGTTTGTTGAGAATACAAAGGGGTCAATTGAGTCTTTTTCATACATAAAATATGTTACAAATTAATAACAAAGTGATTTCTCAATATACAATTAAAATTTAAGAGTATATGATTTCCAAAAGACTGTACATTTTTGCCTAACAAGCAGGTATATCAAACAATAGATTTTATAAAGCAGAGTGGTAATTAGACCAGTAATAATTTTGGAATGGAGACTTATTTCCAGTGGTAGAACTTCTTTTTAAGGATTGGTAGGGGCATTTACAAAAGTTAAAATTTAGAATCTGTATCTTAATTGAGCCTCAACTACAAGAGCAGACTAAATTCCATCTCTCTCTCCCACTCTCCCTCTCCTTTTCCCCCCACCTCCTTCTCTATCTCTCTCTCTCTAATAAATTGTCAATATTTCAAATTATTTTATCCTTAGAAAGAAGTATTAGATCGTAGAACATAGAAAAGAAAGGAAAAAGTATGGGATTATTTTCATTAAATGTATATGCAGAAGTTATTATTGAATAAAATGTCATTTTCTTTTAAGAGCAAAAATAACTGGTAACCAAATATTAAAAGGCTCAACAATTCATTTTCAAACCAAGATCTCATTGCAATATGACTGAACTAAAATGGTTTTGAGGTCAGATTTACTCAATATTATGTACATCAAGTATTTCTCAATTTCTTTTATAAAGCATCATAGAATTCACCACATTCTATGTTTTTAAAATAGTATACTATAAATTAAGAACTAATAATTATATCAAAATTCTCATCTTACTTCTCCATTTCTTAATGTTGTGATGGTTCCTCTTGCTACACCCATTCTAAATAGTGTTTCTGTGGCCTGTGAATTAAAAAAAAAAAAAAAGGCATCATCTATAATATGTTCAACAATATATATCACACCCCCAAAATGTAAAAACACTTCCAGCAACATCTAAAGAAGCGCCAATAAGGCATAATTGCAAGCTCTAAATTATACTCCAAAAATATAATTTCCAGAACTTTTTAATGTTATCAAGAACTCACACTAAATTGTTTCAAAGGTTATTTTCATTTGCTAATCTTTTTCCAGGTCTATAATTTCAAATTAGTACACTTAGATAAGTTTAACCCTTAGTTTGATTAACAAAGATCAAATAAAAATTTAGTACTTGGACTCAATTCAGAAATTATCATTTGTTCTGATGTTTAGTTTCCATTTGAATTCAGTTCAAATCAGTTGAATGTCACTGAAATACTGACAGAAGATAAAGTAATTCTGTGGTATATTAAATAACACTCCAAAAGAGTGATTCTTTCTACATACTAAAGATGAATAATCCTAAAAGGAAATTAAGAATTCTATTTACAACAGAATCAAAAACATAGGAATAAACTTAACCAAAGAATCAAAAGACTTGTTCGCTGCAAACTACAAAACACTGCTGAAAAAGATTAATCAACACTTAAATAATGGCAAGACATCCTGTGTTTACTAATTGGAAGATTTAATATTGCTGAGATGTCAATACTACCCAAAGCGATCTAAAGATTCAATGTGATTCCAATCAAAATACCAATGACTTTTTCCCAGAAATATAAAAATCCATCCTAAAATTCATATGCAACCCAAAAGATCTCAAATAGCCAAAACAATTTTGAAAAAGAGCAACAACATTGGAGAAGTCAAATTTTCTAATTTCAAAGCTTACTACAAAGCCACAAGGAACCAAACAGTGTGATACTGTCATGTAGGCCAGTGAAACAGAATAGAGTGCCCAAAAATCAACCCTTATGTATATGGTCCAATGATATTTGATCAGGGTGCCAAACCCATTCAATGTGAAAAGACAGTCTTTTTAACAAATGGTGCTGGAAAAACTGAATATCCACATGCAAAAGTATGAAACAGGATCTTTACCTTATACCATATACAAAAATTAACTTAACAGAGATGAAAGACCTAAATGGAAGAGCTAAAACTATACAACTCTTAGAAGAAAACATAAAGGAAAGCTTCACGACTCGGTGTCTGATGAGGACGTGCTTCTTGGTTCCTAGTGACTATCTTCCCGCGTCCTCACAAGGCAGGGAGCAAATAGGAGCAAGCTCTCTCTGTGCTCGTATAAAGGCTCTAAATCCCGCTCATGCAGGCAGGGCCCTCATGGACTCAGCTAATCCTAATTACCTTGCAAAGGCCCCACTCCTAATACCATCACTTTGGGGAGGGGTAAGGTTATAAAATGAATTTTGGGGGAACACAAACATTCAGTCCATAACAGGGGTGGTTCCAGTCAGAAGGGGCAAGAAGGACAAAGGCCACTAGGTAGGATCACGATTGTCACATTCAAGGACAAGTAAGACGGCCAGTGAAGCTGCAAGAAAAAGACTGTAGGAGAGTATAGTTGGAAAAGAGAGGACTCAAGTTCATCTATTCAATATGTGCTTTAATTTTTTAACCTGGCACAAGAAGAGTGCATCAGCAACCTTCAATAATTGAAAATATAATTCAAAGAATGCTCTACTAAATATAAATTTTAAGAATTAGTATATGAAGAAATAAAAGAGAGAACTTTGAATTTAAAAACTGAATGCACATCTAAAGAAATCTAAAGCGTAGCAGAGATGGAAAACTGGAGGAAACTATAAGGAAACTGATGTATGTGTACAAAATCAGTGTAATATAAATAGCACTGCACATGTTAATTTAGATGTAAGGAAGTGAATAACAGAAAAAATAAGAAGACAGAATAATCTCCTGAGAATGACAAAGATACTAATTAAGGACAGGGGTGAGAGTATGTATAACATGTAAAAGGAAAACATAAGGGAATGGAACACAGAAATGCCAAGTAATTTTAAAAGCCCAGCTAAGGTTGAAAATCATAAATCTTTGTTATTGCAAATCCATATAGTTACAGGATCAGAAAGCTAGAGACATTCATGGTTTAGGAATTGTCAAGGAAAAATGAGCAACGCTAGAGAGAGGATATAAATTAAAAAGTAACAACTCCTTTTATTCCAACTTTATTGGTAAAATACATCATGTAACAATTTTTTTCTAATTTTTTTTAAATGAGGGGTAGCAATCTTTAAAACATTCCTATACACACACACACAAAGGTGGTGCAGAGTTAGTGTCTAAATGATAAGTTAGAAAATAAAACTTTTAGGGCAAGCACTGCTAAATTTTCTAACTGCTGCACAATATGAATATAATTCCAATCCATAAGTTACTCAGAGTTAAAGCAAGCCATTAATGGGGGGAAAGGGTTATTCACATGCCTAAACAAAAATGAAATTATACAAGAATGACTTCGTGGGCCAGCCAAGTGGCGCACTGGTTAAGAGTTGGCTTGGGACACCCGCTCTGAGCAGCAGGACCCCGGTTTGGATTCCACACTAGGGCCAGTGATGCTGCACCCTCTACAGCTAAGATGGTGAACAATGGCTCGACCTGGAGCTGGGCTGCCATGAGTTGCTGGCGACAGCGTAGGCTGCAGTGACGCTGCAGTGGGCTGCTGTAAAGCTACCATGAGTGGCCGGCAGCCAGCATGAACTACCAAGAGCCGCTGTGAGTCCAGTGGCCGGTGACCAATATGCCTCACCCAGGAAGAGTGCAATGATCACAATACCAACATGGGCCAGTGAAGTGATGTCCTCCACAACTAGACTGAAGAACAAAAGGACAGCAACTTATCTGTTCCCCTTCCCCAATTCCAAAAAAAATCTTCAAAAATAAATAAATAAATAAATAAATAAATAAATAAATAAATAAATGTCTTCGCTACGACAGACTTTTACTAACACATGTAAAACTAGATGTTGAAAGAACTAGTTACAGAAATTTTTTTTTTTTTAAGCTGAGCCATCCTTCCACCTGTTGGCAGCTCAGCTAGGGCCAGGAATCGAACTGCTGTTGCTCAGAGCTCAAACTCTTGAGCGAGCTCTTAACCAACTGAGCCACTTGGCCAGCCAGAAATTTTTATTAAAGGAAAATAATCTCATCAATGTACAGCATTTTTTATTAGTGATATGAATATATCAAATTACATCTTTCTGTTTCTTTTTAAACCTTATTTGATCTAGTGATGTGACTGCTAACAGTACTCATCTAAATCAGGTTAGTTACCGTGTATATATTTGAGGGACAGAAAGGGAAAGGCACAGGCTAGCAAGCACTTGGGATAAAGTATGCAACAACTAAACCCGATCAAATCACTTTCTTTTTTGTGTCTCAAATACCCAAGGCAGTTTGAGGATCTAATTCTTTTTCTACCCTCTCTCCAGCAGAAGAAAACTAAATTCAATCTTTTGTTTCCAACTAAATTGATTTATTTCACCAGCTATTCCCACCAACAATTTTAAGGAGGTCTCATTCTAATAGCACTCGGTCAATTCAGCTCAGCTTCCTTTGATTCTATAGGCAAGCACTGGAGTGTACAACATTCTTTTGACCTCTACTACAGAGATTCCTTTTAATTTACTTGTACCCAAACAACAACTAACAAGTGTCAAAAACAATGAGACACAGGGCTCATTCTCAGAACTTGTAAATTCAAAACCAGCAAATTCTTGATTGAAATTTCCCTCTCCTTGAGTTTTGGTAACTAAAATGATACTGAAAACATTCATTAAACATTTGGCACCCGGGAAAAACACCTGTAGGTCCTTGTTTAAAATAGGCTGTCAAGAGAGACTGCTTTTAAAAAGAGTGTTAGATAAAAGAGACTTGCCAGACATGAAATCTAGCTGTAACAAATGCCAAGCTCTGGATGGGATCCTTGTGTTTGTATATGTGTGCAAATCAAAAAAGATCCAAAAGGATACAAAACAAGTTGATAACAGTAGTAATCAATGGGTATTTTTCTTTACTTTATTTTCTAGAGTGCTACCATGCACATGTATTGCTTGGTAATAATAAAAATAAAAGTAAAAAAACAAAAGTAGCAGCTTTTGTTACACTGAAAGGTAAAAGAGATTCAAAACAGAATTTTGGAACAATGTAAAATGTTACAATACATGCAGTGCTACCTTGAATAGCTCCCAGAGTGAAAATAATCCAAACTCAAAAGAGACTCATGTTCTTACAATCTAATGTTTTTTAATTCATTAAACCAACACAAAATAAGTAAAATTAACAAGAATATATACTTAATATGCTTTTACCTTAAAAAGCAGCATGATTATAATAACTTTAAAGCATCATATTATAGAAAAACTTCAGTGCGTGAACTTAACTTGCAGTTTATAAATATAAATACACATTTTTTTATATTTGTATATAAATATAAATACAAATATAGTTGTATTTAGCAAACATTTATTTCCTATTAGTCAAGCAATAGAGTCCTAGTTATTCCCACTATTTACAACTTTAGTCAGCTCTTTGAAACTCTTTAAGCTCTGACCTCCTCTGTAAAAAGGTGACAGCTAATATCAAACTGTCCTCTTGTGGTGGTAAATGCAGGTGCTAACATATGAGAAAAGCTCTGTAAAGAGCTAGATGAATGTAAAATAATGAATCCAAGGTTCAGTTTAGGACAGCACTTCTTGAGATGAAAAGATGTTTGAGAAATACTAACTTTGATTTTTCAAATGTAAACACAAGGAATGGACTAATGAAAGGCCAAAAATGAATGAGCCTTAATCAAAGCTGTGAATATGAAAAACAAAAATCTATGACAAAGAGCCACAGCACTTAACCACTGTTTTTATGACTATCTCTGTACTGTTCTAGCTCAACCAGCTGAACAGTGAGGTTCTGGAGGGCATGAATTAATGTTTTATTTATGTATCCCCAGCACCTTGAGCAATATAAAACAATACAGCATAAATATTAAGAAAGCAGGTTTTAGAAAC